TCGATCTGGAGTCGAACGCGCTACCATTGCGCCAAGCGGTCATCGTACTATAACAGGTGGAAGTACTGATGTTGTGATATTATTGCAAAGATAAATTTAATCAAAGATATTGCGGAGTAGATCAAACGTCCAGCCTCTGAGCAAGGCGATGTCGACGAAACGACAGTTATCGAACTGGTATTACTCACTAATAAAGATATCCAATTTCTCAAGTAGTGATGGTAAAACCAATCACCACTGAGCAGATCGAACGCCCAACCTTTCGATCTGGAGTCGAACGCGCTACCATTGCGCCAAGCGGTCATCTATTCCGGTATAGGTGGAAGTACTGATGTTGTGATATTATGCAAAGATAAATTAATCAAATGATATTGCGGAGTAGATCAACGTCCAACCTCTGAGCAAGGCGATGTCGACGAAACGACAGTTATCGAACTGGTATTACTAACTAGTAAAGATATCCAGTTTCCCAAGTTTCACCTGTGTCTCCTGTCGTCCCGTTGATCGTCGAGTGACTCGAGCGGGTACCAGCAACTCTTCCATTTTTCCCTATCGCGTGCGAGAGTAGCCCAGTGGGTCCTCCTCGCTCTAGGGATTCGCTGAGCATCATATCTTTCTTCTATCGCTTTCGTGAAGAAATCGGACCAACGGGTCAGTGGTCTTCCTTTAGAGCGCTTGACGTCCCGAGGAATCCAGTCGGTAACGGCTCTCGTCCATCGGTTGTCGTTGAAGCGCATCACGTGTCCGGCCCACCTTATTTTCGATATCCTGGCGTGTAGAACGGCGTCTCCGATTTTCGATCGTTGACGTAGGTCGGAACTTCGGATCCTTTCTCTCATTTGCGAGATACGGGATACTCCTAGCATCGACCTTTCGACTGCGCGTTCGATAACGCCACGTGATTTTTCATCCTGCTTACGTAGCGACCAGGTTTCTGCTGCATACGTTGGGGCAGGGATAATTGTCGAGTCGAAAAGGTGGGCACGGAGTCGGATGTTCTTTGTCCTCTTCACTACATCTTCGATGCTCTTAAACGTTCCCCAAGCAGCTCGTTTCCTCCTGCTCAACTCTGGGGCTAGGTCGTTCATCATGTTGATTTCACGACCTAGATAGATGTAACTGGAGCATTCGGAAATTGTCGTTCCGTTGAGCGTGAATGGGGCATTAGAAACCCATCCGTTCCTCATGAACATTGTTTTCGTTAGATTCAGTTGAAGACCGATCTTTCCACAGGCGTTATCGAAATCAGTCAACATTCGTTCCGCTTGGCTGATGTTTGGTGTTATGAGAACGATATCGTCAGCAAAGCGAAGATGGTTTAATTGTCGACCGTCAATTTTCACTCCCATTTCGTCCCATTCTAATTTTCGCATGACGTTTTGTAGGGTGGCAGTGAATAGTTTTGGCGAAATTGTATCGCCTTGTCGAACCCCTCTTCTTACATCGATGGTGATATTGTTGTAGAATGGAGATATTATGGTCGTGAAATCTTTATAAAGCTCACGAAGGATCATTATGTACTGAGTAGGGACGCCTCTGGTTATCCAGAGCCTCTATAACCGCTTCTGTTTCCACTGAATCAAAGGCTTTCTTCAGATCGATGTAAGTGAGACGAGTGGTTGTCTGTACTCTCGTGAAACTTCAATGAGTCTTGCACTCGTGTGGATGTGGTCTATGGTACTAAATCCTTTGCGGAACCCTGCTTGTTCGCATGGTTGTCCTTCGTCCAGTGTTCTGTCAATCCTTTTTAGGATGACTCGAGTAAAGAGTTTATAAACAACGGACAGCAAGCAGATTGGGCGATAATTGCCTATGTCGTGAAGGTCTCCCTTTTTGAACAACAATACGGTCTTGCTGGTTTTCCATTGAATAGGGACCTTGCATTGTGACAGGTAGCGAGTGAAGAGCCGAGCCAGGGTGTTGATGAGAACTGGCGGCAGGTTCTCTCAGGTGTTCTGGTCTAATCCTGTCTGGACCGGTGTTGTTCTGTTCTTCACCGACGATATAGCTTGTCGGATTTCGGAAGAGAGGACCGGTGGAACGACATATTCGTCCTCTTTCAATTTATATGACGGTAAGAGTACATGGCTAGCGAAGAGATCCGAGTAGTATTGGTGGATGATTTTCTCCATAGCCCTTCTGGAAGCTGTAAGTGTCCCTTCAGGGTATCGGAGTGCAATCATCTTAGTCTTAATGTTGGCGAAGCCTCGCTGGGCTTTGCGAATGCTCTTCCCAGCTTCTGCAGCTTCTGCCATAACTGCTGCTCTTCTCTCTTTGAGGTCTTCTTTTATCGCTTCTCTGCAGCGTTTCGCCAGTTCGGACGTAAGGTTTCGGTTGCCAGTAGCTCGTGCGAATCCACGTTAACGTACCAGCTCGAGTGTATGCTGAGAAAAGCGTCTCTTCGTGACCTTAGAACTCTCGGCTTTCATAGCGCTAGACGTGAAGATATTCAACGAGTCGTTTGTATTTTTCGTCGATGTTGTCGACAATTGTATCTTCCCAAGAGCCGACTAATGATTTGAATACATCCCAGTTTATGGTAGTTCTGGGACTTCGTTGTTTGAATTTAGCGGCTTTCTCTCCTCTCCCCGAAAAACGGAACGTTCGCGCGAAGGAGGCGATGGTCTGATCCCGTGTAGAACTTAGGAACAACAGCGACATGGGTCAGGCAAAACCTTCGATTTATTGAGAAGTGGTCTATTTCGTCATGATACTCTCCATTGGGAGACTCCCACGTCCATCGCTGAGAAAGAGGCTTTTGGAATTGCGAGTTACCATGGATGGTTTGGGTTGTCATGACAAACTCAGATAGCCTCTCACCCTTTTCATTCCATTCTAGTCCGTGGGTCCCTATGTGACGTTCTTCAGACGTTCTTCTTGGTCCAATTTTTGCATCAAAATCTCCGACAATGACCTTGAAAAATGTATCATCTTCTCTGAAAAAATTTATCGAGGTCCATATAGCAAGCTTCGACTTCGTCTTCGTCATAACTTGATGTTGGTGCGTAAGCAACGAAGATGGTCGGAGCCGGCATTGAACCACATCGTTTAATCCGTAATCGCCCAATACGGATTGTTAGTTGTTCAGATGAATCGATGTTCACGGTCAAATTCGATTTAACGAGGACGCCAACGCCGCCGACACCTCTGGTATCGCATGTTCGAGAAAAAAGTTCTTCTCCGGTGTTATATACAGCGTGAAAAGGTTAGCATCTTCTCATCTGAGCTAGGCCAATGACGTGCCATATCCTTTTTGCTTAAACCAACAGATTTTCTACAGCGGATTCGTACACAAGTGTTTGTGCGTTGTAGAGACATAGTCATTTTAGCTTGTTTTGATTTTGGCAGCCTAGTCTGACCCTGAGAATTTAGCAGCCTCTCCCAACTCGTCCTAAATGACGCTGCCCTATCGGAAGCTTTTCGGGATCGGGAGAATGAGGCCCATTTTTATTGCTGTTTCTAGCATTTTGATATATAACGTATAGCGTGTTAAGCTCTAAACGTGGGGCTGGGTGTTCACAGAAAGCTTGCCAGTCTCTCTCGGAGAAGCGGAAGGAGCTTATTTGTTGGAGGCGACTTCTAACTGCCTCCCATGTACTTCCCAGCCGCTTGATTGCAGGCTTTTGACCGATTTGACTCGTGGAAGTGGAGTTCTGTCAAATCGGCACTGTAGAAGCAGGGCCTCAGCCTCTGAATCCACCTGCGTCTCTGAATAGCACACGGTCGCTTTTGGTTCGCATTTAATTCCCCTATGCACAACTGCGAGGGCGCATGCGGCGCAGTGGTTAGAGGTGTCCTGTGTCGCACACGAGGTCACTGGCTCGATCTCGCGCTCATATCTCACCAAACCATCCATCCCTCCGCGGTCGGTAAATTGGTACCAGACAGGTCTCAGACTTGTCTGGGAGGATAAGCAGCACTGACTCGGTTCAGCGGGAGGTCACCGCGAGTCATAGTAAAGGCCAGATGTGCATTCAATCACCTCAAACGAAGTTAAAAATTGAAGTCGAATGCATGGCGCATCCCTCAGGGATTGATCAACGCCGAGAGCTTTATCCTTTATTTTATCCTTTACGCACAACTGGGAAAGCGCCACGTGCCCACGCGACCAACCGGGCGGAATTTCTCAAAGAGGGAGATACATGGTCGCTATAATAATTTCACCTTTTTGAGTTTAAAGAACTGAGGCGCCTTGCGAAGTCCGACCCTAGGGTGCAGTGTATTTTCGAGGAATCCGGTGAGCACATCATTGCTGGCGCTGGAGAACTTCATCTTGAAACTGTCTCAAAGATTCAGAAAAAGACCATGCTTGCATTCCGTTGAAGGAAATCGATCCCGTTGTTTCGTAACGCGAGACAGTTTCAGAGGAGTCTAGCCATTTTGTTTATCGAAATTTCAAATAAACACAACCGTCTTTATGCTATTGCAAAGCCTATGCTTGACGATTTAGCTAACGATATTGAGAGAGGAACTGTCAATGCTCGAGATGAAATCGCAACTCGTGCAAAGATTCTTGCTCAAAAGTACCATTATGATGTTACTGAGACTCGTAAATTTGGTGCCTTGGTCCAGACGGAACAGGCCCCAATATTCTGGTCGACCTTACCAAAGAAGTTCAACATTTGAGTGAAATTAGAGATTCCGTTGTCGCTGGATTTCAGGGGGCAACTAGGGAAGGCGTGCTGGTTGATGAACGCATGCGTGGATTTCGCTTTGATATTTGAGATATGACACTTCATGCTGACGCCATCCATAGAGTATGTAGTAGATATAAATAAATACCCACAGATGTAGAGCGATGTGCAAAACTTTCGCGTCAGGCGGGACTAGAACCCGCATCTCACTCTTTCTGGGTATGCATGCTCTATCCGTTACACTACTGACGCCCATCTTACACATCGCTCTTTCTACATCGAGCATCTTGCCCGGGCCAGGCCGATGACGGCTGGCGGCTGACAGATAGATGCGTTGTAGCGTAGAAAGATTGATGTGCAAAATTGGCGTCAGTAGTGTAACGAATAGAGCACGCATTCCCGAAAAGAGTGAGGCGCGGGTTCAAGTCCCGGCTGACGCGAAAGTTTTGCACATCGCTCTACATCTGTGGATATATATGTATAACATCATACCACCGCTATAAGCGGTTAAATAAAAAGAATATCATATGTAGTAAATAAATCCCACTCCTCGCCGCGCCATCTAGGCTTCTGTGCTTACTGCTGGTCCACACCTTCTCGAGCCTGTCCATCTCGTCGATATGCACTCTGAAATCGCCGCCGGTGGCATCTATGGTTTACTCAGTCGCCGAAGAGGACACGTATTCGAGGAGTCGCAAATTGCTGGAACAACTATCTTCGTCGTTAAAGCTTACCTGCCCGTAAATGAGCCATTCGGTAAGGATTTCAATTTACTGGCGCGTTTCTTTGATAACAGGCGTCCATATTGTAGATTTCACTGCCGATTTGCGTCCAAACATTGGTGGTCAAGCCTTGTCGCAGTGTGTGTTTGACCACTGGCAAGTTTTGCCTGGAGACCCTCTCGACGCTGGGACGAAGCCCAATCGAGCCGTTATCGAGACAAGGAAACGCAAAGGACTCAAGGAGAGCGTGTCAACTCTCGACAACTACCTTGACAAACTGTAAATTTATTTAATAATTCCAATATGCCTTGCAATCATATTTGAGCCATGCATGTCAGTGGTCTGTCAAACAGGGCTGACTTATAGAACTCGATACACGTGTTTCGATCTTGCGATCTCGTCAGTCGGGCAGTTACCCTTTCTCGTCTTTTGCTAATCTCTGTGGGAGCTCCAGTCCCCACACCTAAGAGTTAGCAAAGACGAACGTTTAACACTCTATGTCCAGTGAAAAGCGACTGACGAGATCGCAAGATCGAAACATTTGTATCGGGTTGTACAAGAGCCCATAACAGACCACAGAACATGTTGGCTCAAATAATAATTTTGAGATATATATTCAATTTTGAGCGTGCGCTTAACAAAGCATTCGAAGTAAACGGTGTAATCCTATTGTTACGGTTTGTGTTACCGAGGTTATCTATTAAAAAGGTTTCAACAGGGCTTGTTCTACGAATACTTCAATTGTTGTTGTTTCAGTATATCACAGATTAAAAGATTTCAAATAAAGTCGTATTGCTTGTTAGCGTCTCCCTCGTTCTACTTTGCTGTTAAGTGATAACCTTTTAGTTTTTCCTTCCTGATCTTTAGTCTTGGGACTGATTCAGGGGGATGTTTAGGCTCGTCGGGCCAGCTTATTGATTATGTGAGGCCACCCGCATTCACTCCTCGCATCCTCCATTCCACACCCGCATGCTCGCCATCCAATCCTAATAAATTGTTCTATAAAAACTTGATAGGTGGTCATAAAGCTGTTGCGGTAGTACGGGCGGTCCATCAGCGTTACATTATTTATTATTCGGTGTGATGACATACTTCATGCTAGAGTGATTAGTAGGGTTGTTAAGAGGCGGAAAAGAGGCCTTTTAGAGGCGCTTTTTGATCTATTATTGCTCTGGGATGTCGTATGAGACTTTTTTCCCTGAAGGTGAATAGCTAGCAATTTGGAATTGTTTTGTGATGAATATGAGATCCTAGGGAAGATGAAAATCAAGAGACACGCTTTCAACGGAGAGTAGACTATCCATGGATACGTTCAGATCGGCTTGGCTATTTTTAGACCAGTACAATTAGTCTTATTCGTTCTCGTTTGCTCATAGATGTTTTGCGGCTGATCAACTACCTAAGATTTGATTTTTTGGAGCCAGAACTCCGCTTATATTTTGATAGACTACTTTCTAATATGCAATAATGTAGAGTGATAAGCAGACATTTGAACGTCGAACAGGATTCGAACCTGTATTTCATCCTTTCCAGGGCGCGTACTAACCATTGCACTACTGATACATCGTTCTGCAATCACTCTTTCTGACCAATTTGTCAGCAATCAACTGTAGAGTGCTTTGTATTTTTTTCACGTCTCTGGGACTCTGTTGTTTTTGATGTCGCTCATACTCAATGCAATTTTGTTGACGTTGTTTTTTTCTTGTGTCCTTTTGCGTTTAAAAAAAAAAACGCCCTCGTGGTTGACGACTTTCTATCAGAAATTAATTCACGAAAGGGTTAGCGAATAAGGCGCCACTGATTAGAGCTATCCGAAAATGAGATAAAAAACGAGCGAAATGAGGTGAGCAGAGAAATGTAATTTTTTTTCGACCATTTTTCGCCACGATAATAATTTCGTTTGATTTTCTAGTAGTACGATTTTAACAGCGTCCTTGACCCATCTATGGAGTCTATGGATCAGTTACTTGACTCTGGATCGGTCCACTACCACCATTGATCGTCATTTCCTTTGGTGATTGTCGGCCCTGTGATTTGTTAAAAACGGGTAATGAGCGTGGAAATCCGATAATATCCGTTCGGATCTAATGATCATTGTCGATGTCGCTTCAGCTTGTCGATGGTAATTGTTGACTTTTGAATTCCAGCTCAGTGTAAAAAGTGCATGATTGTCGGTGTAAACGTGGTCTACGGTAGTCGTGGAGACCTGAACAGAGTAATTATTAGATTAAGCTTTTGAATATATCTGTCCTCGTGAAATAAATCTATGCAACTAAAAGCTCATGACGTCATTAGACATCAGAGAAAACTTTGTAACAGGTTGAGGCAAAAGTTCTAAGAAAAAGATTGCAACTTTTTTGTGTGCCGGCGAATTTTTTTAATTTGTGGGATCATTTGAAAGCCCGTCATCTCCTGCGATGTATATGATTTATCTACTTCGTTGATGCGTTGATGATGACGATGCTGATGCATCTTGATGCTTTCACTTGCCACCGTTGCATTTGAACCCAACAGCCATACGTGCATTCATCAACAAGCTAATTTGGGCCGGCACCCAAGAAAAAGTTAGAGCCATTTTCTCAGGGCTTCCTTCTCCAGCCGGTTAAACAGGCCATCGCGCCGTTATGAATCACCTAGCAATGACATTTCCAATTGTTGTTGCAACAGAGAGAAGCTTGCAACTGATATCATATCGAATGTCAGGTCTGTTGCGATCGAAGACGGAGTGTTCTCGAGGCGACGGAAAAAAATTCTAAGGTTGTGGTTCCACTCTGATGTGATTTAAATGCTCCTTAACTCCTCTAGAAACCGTAGTTGAGACCACTGCGCTCAGTGCGAATTCGCCGACTGATTTAAGATTATTTTCTTTCATTTTGGACAAAAATCCTGGATTCCTTACCAGTTCGATGCTTCATGTTTTTTTAAGCCCTCCCATATTCTTTTCTGTTTATGAAACACTTATATGTGAAGAAATAGTGTTTATTTACGGGCTAACTTATCCGAGTGTGAAACGTGATCTTCTCCTTGTCGTTACAACGTAGTATGAGGACCGATCAAGAAATCAAGCTCAACGCTGAAATCGTTGTTTTTCAAGCTATCGAATGACTACCAAAAGTCCAAAGATAAGCGCCAAGCAGAGACGAAACTCGAGTAAACAATACACACCGAAAGTGCCAATGTAGATTTTTCTTCGCTGCTACAGCGTACTAAGATGGCTTTTTTCAAAAACCAAGTATAGCGTTAAAATAGCTGAGACTTGTGCCATCGAATGTTTACTGGAAGTCGATTTTTTTTTCGGAAAGAGTAAGATCTGGGTTCAAATCCCAGCTGACGCAAATGTTTTTGCACACCACTCTACGTCATTGGGTTTATTTGAACATCAGAACACCGTAATCGGCGTTCAATAAAGTGATTTCCGGTTAATCATCTTTTTTTTATTCGAAACTTGCACGAGATTTAACATGTTTCAAACATGTTACAGATCAAGAAAGGAACATTTCATAAAAAATTTTATATTTCTTCAGGTCATGTTGAGCTTTAGAGATACTCGGACTTTTTAGCTATTACAAAACCTACCAATCTGATGAAGTAATTTTGTTCTGAGCGACAGAGGCCTCTAAACAATCAATCGTGTATTGAATAGGGTACACGCGGTCCCCAAAGAGCTAACGTCACGTAGTACGCGATCTACCAAGTGATCTCGGCTTCTTGCGGGCTTTTCTCCTTGTTTCTATTACTCTGACCACCATCTGGTGGACACATGGCAGTTGACCGCCCTCTACGATTGTTCTAGTCTCTCAAAGGTCATTGTTTTCGTGGATTTTACATCATTGCCGTGCTCGGATCGGTGTTTCGTATTGTTCCGTCACAGATCTATTGATCTATTCTAGTGTTGATCAGCTCGAAACCCGCCAAACAAAATCGATTTTTCCGTCGGTCTAAGTTTTGAAGTGCGACGCTCTCTTCACAAACAACCCGCCCGAAACAGCCGCTTAGTACACAATCACCGCACTCTCGTCTCTCGACACACTTCGCGACGATACTGTCAATCACTCACTGTACTTGCGCACGACATCAATAGTGGTGATCCGGAACTGTCGGAATGAGTGATGTGAGTCGGATTTCTCATGATTTTTCCCCATTTTCCTCCATTTATCTCTCTTCGGGAGAGTTATGAAACCCTCCAAACATTTTCCAGTCTCTGATTCTATCGTTGATTTTTTCAGCTTATCGCTTTAGTTGGAGAAAAAGTGGGCGAAATGGCCGAAACACTGAATTTCGGTGTTGGTGGTGGTGACAAGGTAAGTGCTGCAGCTGCATTTTTACCTTTTGCTTAGAGGACAATTTAGCATATATAAGTTGTATACTACACCCAGTCAAGTAGAGATATGTGCAAAATTTTTACCTCATCTGGGACTCGAACCCGCACCTTATTCTATCCGGGAGCGCGTGCTCTAATCCGTTGCACTACTGACGTCTGCTTTGACACCATTATTTCTACGCTATAACGCATCTATCTGTTAGTAATCAACCTTCAACGGTTTGGCGCAATTAGTCGCTATCGATGTTGAACCCAGTCAGGCTTGACAGATATTGGGTATTGCAGTGGGTCAGTGGGTTCAATGTCGATATCGACTACGTGGATCAACGGTTGATCCACATAGTCGATATCGACATGGAACCCGCGTTACAGCGTAGAAAGTGTGGTGTAGAAACAG